TCAACTGAAACAGATTACAAAATTATTACTTACATGAAAGGATTAGAAAAAAGGAGAAAATGAAGATTACGTATACTTACAAATTTGTGTTCTTTTCGTCCTAAAAGTTCAGCGTCAACTAAATTTAATTATCATATTCTTGTCTATTTKTTGAATGTTWTATAMCCCAAGGGGGCTYATCAAAACTAATAAAGATTAATACAATAAAGGTCATGTCCAAAACATATGATAAAAATGAAGATACTTTCTGGTACAGGCGATACGTACCACACAATGCAAGACTAAATGGCCCATTTGGATGGTCACCACGTGATAATAATAACCCTAAGAATTACTTACAGCTGGACCTTGGTGCTGTACGAGCCATCACTGCTGTAGCAACACAAGGAACTGGAAAACCTGGAACGCATGAATGGATAAAAACATTTAATCTTCTGTTTAAACAAGACATAAATTCAACTAAATGGGCTGAATATGGAGGAACTTTACAAAATTGTTATATGGTAAGAGCAATATTGCTAGTTTATGGCTGAATAGTATCTAGAAGTTCATCCGTCGTCTCAAGATCGCGTGCATTCTGTTTTAAAGGGACATGGTCCACCAGCATCCCTTTCGAGCTTTTGTTTATGTTTGAAAATAGAAATACATCGTGATATAAGCAAAAACTTACTCTTTATTATTCCTTTAAGTCCTTTATCCTATATGAATGGGGACGCTTTAAGATTCGACCGTTAAACCGATGGATGGAAACGGATTGCAAATGGATATTCGAAGTCACCTCATTTTCCATATATGAAAAATCTAAAACACGACCGCATTGCATGTTTGTGGACCATGTCCCTTTAAACGCAATTTTTTTTTCAAATAAAAGCAAAGAAGGTTAATAGTCTCCTTCATGGTTACCTGCGCCATCTTGAAAGGTAGCCGTGCCTTTGCATCGAAGCGAGACGACCGTTGAGCGTGCAATGATAGATACCTGTGAATAATTGTCTGAAGGTGTGAAAGAAGGTTTCTATCATTGCACGCTCAACGGTTGTCTCGCTTCGATGACAAGGCACGGCTACCTTTCAAGATGGCGCAGGTAACCGTGAAGGAGACTATTAGCACCATCATTCCTAAAAAGGCGACTTGACCTTGACGCTGTCAGTCGGACTTTTGTTTTACTTTTTGTAGTGTTACAAATATTATTACAACCCGCCGTGGGGCTGTTGGTGTACCGATAAAGACAAAAAGTACAAAACGATGACTGCTGACACTGTAGTTCGTCATAATTTAAAGACAATCCAAGAAGCACGATACATAAGATTCTTACCTGTAGAATTTTTCGGTCTTGACAAGACGATGAGAGTCAACGTGTTTTTCATTAATAAAGGTACGTCGTTGCAACATTTCAGCGGTATTACCCATATATATCGCCATGTCGATCATTTGATGTTGTCAATTTTATAGAAGCACCACGTGTCAACGCCACGCCCTCTGAACGATCGATATTCCTACAATGGACTATTCAACCATGTGGTAAACTAACTACAAAAATCACTGGCTACCTGGTGGACGTAAGTACAAAAGGAGAGTTCGAGGTTGGTCTACGGAATACAAGTAAAAACATCACAGGACTTCAGCCATACACTGAATATAAAATACGAGTCAAGGCTGTCCCGTATGGATTATGGAGTGATAACAAGAMCATCCAGACTGACATAGCAGGTTTGTTATCGTTCAAGTGTCGACCTATTTGGTATAATCTTGTATATATTTCTTTTTGCCTTAGTTCCACAGGTAATCAAAAGCGTTGTTACGTTACAGACACTCTCGTCAAATTCTATCAGCGTCAAATGGAAGGTAAGAACATCAAACTGAAAGACTGGAATATGACTGAATCTAACCAGAGACTATTTCTTGTCTTATCAGCATCCACAAAACCATTCTATCAACGGACCATTAACAGGTTATAGAGTAACTTACACAACAAACAARGGCCAGACAAAGAATGTTGACATAGGTGTGGTCAACACGTTGAATCTTACGTCACTAGAAAAGTGCACGTGGTACAGTGTAACGGTGTCAGTTAATAACTCCAAGTACATCGGTCCACCGAGTAAAAACGCCACTATAAGAATTGGAAATGGTAAGTGCTGATTTTGTCATTTATTGAATAACCTCATGATGTATTTGTCTCCGATCACTTGTTCCTAATTATCATTATCACTCACAGTAATTTACAACAGCATTAAAGTGTTTCAATATTTATCACTTGATATAAAGATGAGTCTCGCTTTCAATTTTTTTCTGGTGTCTGAGTTCTACCAATCACGAGGACTGACAAGTGCAATGGCCAAATGGATATGGAATTTTGAATATCAAACAATCTCTTAATAGGAACAAATAGATAAATTCCCATGTGATTTTATAGTTGCTTACAGCCTTGAGTTTTTATAGCACCGATGGCCGGTCCCTCGAATGTTTCTGCTATCCCGACAAACTCTTCTTCAATTGCTGTTTCCTGGGGTCCTGTAACAATGGACAAATTAACCTGTGACATCACCGGATATGACGTCAAGTTGACACAACACGAATGTGCAGATATCAAAAACGGTTATTGGATAATTGAATCGACCAATAGGAGATCTACGGTTTTCACCGGGCTATTCACCTTCAACAATGTACTCTGTTTCCGTGAGAGCAATTACGATAGCTGGCCCTGGTCCTTATAGCAAACCAATTTGTGTCTCAACCACTCAAAGAAATATNGTAAAAGATTTTGAATAAAACCGACGACAATTCGAAAAGATGCAACTTTACAAAATGTAACATCCTCATAGTAGATGTCATTGGGCGATTTAAGTTATTATGTTTTCAGTTTTAATAATATTCGTCCTGGGTGATTTGAGAAAATGCGACTAGACAATCAGCGCAAAGCTGACAAGCTTATGTTGTAAACATAACCCTCCGACGGGAGGAATTTGCACAGCAAAACTCGACCCAGTGGAGTAGGCTGCATGTCATTTTATTCTATCCGAAAAATCGAAGCTAAAACGCAAAGAGAAATTAAAAATCTTTATAAAATAGCTTTTAAATGTCAATCAAATATTTATCGTTATAGAAAGAGAATTTTATCTAAAAAATGAAAAAACAAATAACTTTTTCTTTAATACCACGAGACTCCCCTCTCTGATAGAAATAATTGTTCTGTGTTCTACGCGGGTTCTCCATTGCATGCGAAGCAATGACCGACTTCACGAAAACTTCAGAAGGTCGTTGAAGCGACATTTAAGTCCAAAGGAGGAACCATTGCAAATCATTTTTCTTAGCTCTTGTTACGTGGGCTTCCTGTGGAAGTCCACGTCTTAAAATGCAACTGGCGATTTCGTCGTGGTGAATATTACGCTTCAAATTGGTAGCGCATCGATAGCGCATGCGTTGCAGTCTCAGTTTCCATGGAGATGTCAAAATAAACTAATCAGCGATTTTTGGTAGCGCCTGCGTTGCAGATGGACTGCAGTCTCAGAATGAAAACAAAATGGCTGACAGACGGCGGCAAAAAGTTGTCTCATTTCAAATGGTTCTAATGTAGCTAAAATGCTCTAAAGAGCTGAAAATCTTACAAAATCAACTGATTACCATCCAAGTCCAAACGACATGGATTGAGGTATATAATTCAAGATTAGCGGATGATTCGTACAGAAATGACTGGGCATTTTCTACCGCCGACTCGAAGAGCACTACTTCTTCGTCACATAACTTAAGTGTTCGATGTCAAACACAAAATCTTCAAAAATAAGAAATCACATGGATATTTAAGGTTCATACTTTGACAGAAAACAATCATTCGATGGAAGAAAGCATATCAAACCTCATCTGAAAAATATTGATGCCATTTTCTAAACTAACGATGTGTTTGAAGTTCGGAAAACTGCACGTGTGAGCTTTAATGAACTCTGTATACAAAATATATATTGTGTATGAAGCATTTTAATTCTCTATTGTTTGTTTTGATGATTGTTTAACTTGAAAAACTTAGACAAATCCAAAAATATGAACTGCCATTAGAAGGCTAAGGTACATCTTTATGATGGCACAGAACGCCAGATTTACAAATTAATGATAAACACAAAATAAAAAAGAACAGAAACACAAGATACAGATACATGATTAAAATGATCAAAATATTATTCAAAGTTATACTGCCAAGACTGTACCGTTTCTATTGTTTATGTGACCTATATGACCTATCAGATATTTNACCCTCTTACTAATATGCTATTTTCTTTACACATTATTTCTATGTTTATATTCATCAAGACTGCCGGGTTAAAATAACATTGTCCCCATCTGAAATCCCAATCTCATATGTGTTGTGCTGAATGTTATGATATGCATGGAAACAATTTTTTGCATTGAATTATATGAATGAATTCAAATAAATATGTATTGTATTGATAGTAGTTATAGGGGTTATTTTGCTGCTTGAAGATTTTGTCTGAGAATATATACATCAATAATCACTACATGAAAGTTAGGAAGCCTCCCTTAAAAGGTGAAAAAGACTTTGAAGCCTCACTTGCGAAGAGCTTTGCATGCCCCTTAAAATCTTCCCGCTGGGGGCCCGGGATTTCAATTGACTGATGGATAATTTGTCCAAAATAAATTCGATGAACATAAGCCAGGCCAAAAAAGCTCGTTTTAATCTGCTAGCTAAAGCTTGTTAGGTTATCTTTTTTATGAAAAATCCATTATGAAACGAAACGTACTAATGGAAATCTAAATTCAAAGACTCTTTGATGTGGGATTGTAATTGAACAAGATATGGATTTTTTTTTCAACTATTGATTTTTTCAATTTTATCACATAAATTGAAGATGCAGAAGCTGAAAAACATCTTGATGATTGACGTTTTTTGACCATAAAAACGTTACAAGCCTTTATTGGACCTTGAAAACCTTTCCCAGGAACAAATTCATACAAGAACAGTTATTTAGAAGAACAGACCCCGTCAACTCCTGAAAGTTTTTGTCTTTACACTTAGGTTAAGATGAGTTAGCCACCTCTTGCATCTGGGTTCGTTTTTAGTGAACTTTGCGTTGCTACGTTGACTCGACTCGATCGCTTGCGCTTGTTTTATAATTAAGGTCTTATGCTTCGAAACGCGGGTGATCTGGCTAATTTTCTGCGTGAGAAATCTGGTTTTACGCCCCCCCTTCTCCTGGTAGTCCCTTATCTGGTATTCTTCGTTTGCACGTTACGTCATAGATCCCAAAAAAATAATTCAAACCTAATTTCCCATGAAATCGATTTTACTCGAAAATATAGTTWAGAAAATTATGTTTCGAGATACTTTTTGATGTTATATGCGAATAATTTGATGCACAACGTGTTTTATTTGGTAGCCAAAGTCATGTCACACAACGCCAGGTCACGCGCATGAAAAGCCGTGGAAATCATCTAAAATTCTTCTAAATCGTAGTTTTTTGTTTTAATATAGATTTAGAATTATGTTCATAACAGTTAGCCGCCATTTCTGGTGGACTTCAGAGGTCCACCAGTACGGTGCCGCCATACATTTCTTTGTAAAGATCGGCATATAAAATTGCTTATAAACTTGCAACAAAAGCTCGGTTCGACTCAAACTTTCACAGAATTACAGAATTTCGATACGTCTATTATGTGAAGGTACCGAAATTTTATCTTTGATTTTAAAACTCTCTAAAAATGTTGGTGCCGTTAAAGCGTATAAACATGATCTCGCCATACATTTCCTTCTAAAAAATTAGCGTATAAAATTACTTAGTTTCCA